TTTGCTAGGGGAGAGAGGGTAGGCGTCAACTTTTCTTTTATCCAAACATTTGCTAGGGGAGAGAGGGTAGGCGTCAACTTTTCTTTTATCCAAACATTTGCTAGGGGAGAGAGGGTAGGCGTCAACTTTTCTTTTATCCAAACATTTGCTAGGGGAGAGAGGGTAGGCGTCAACTTTTCTTTTATCCAAACATTTGCTAGGGGAGAGAGGGTAGGCGTCAACTTTTCTTTTATCCAAACATTTGCTAGGGGAGAGAGGGTAGGCGTCAACTTTTCTTTTATCCAAACATTTGCTAGGGGAGAGAGGGTAGGCGTCAACTTTTCTTTTATCCAAACATTTGCTAGGGGAGAGAGGGTAGGCGTCAACTTTTCTTTTATCCAAACATTTGCTAGGGGAGAGAGGGTAGGCGTCAACTTTTCTTTTATCCAAACATTTGCTAGGGGAGAGAGGGTAGGCGTCAACTTTTCTTTTATCCAAACATTTGCTAGGGGAGAGAGGGTAGGCGTCAACTTTTCACTAAGACGATCTCGCCTAAAGGCAATAAATCATATTTAACAGCAGATGTTCTTCTAACACTGGAAAGTTTTAGGATCTAAGGGTGACGTTGAACATACCTTATAGACTTCGTGATAGGCGTTCCTCAGCAAAGCGTAAGGAAAACACGATTCTAACACGTCCATTGTAAGGTAAGGACAGTCTTTGACGATCTAAGCACAAATATAAAAGGGAAAACAACAATGTACCAAACATTCAAATCAAAGCCTATCTGAAGTGTCAAACAAAAGCTTGCGCTTAACTGTAAAATAAACAGTCACTACGGGAAAAAAAAAAAAAAAGAAGAAAAACTGGTACTGTTTGAAGTGATGCATGACATCGACACAAACAAAAATATCTTTACAGACCAGGTCTAACAGCAGATAAGTGGATTCCCGCGCCTTCAGATCCTTTTCCGCTTCGATGCCAAGCTTCAACAAACTGGAGGACGCGATCTAAAAATAAAGGTGACAGCATGTTAGTACCACAGCAGTAAAAGAACATACCATGCCCCCACAGAACGTTTAGAACCTCCCTTGATCTGTAAGATACCCATCTTATAGACAAATGTTTAGATCTTGCAGCAAAATTGCCGAGGCACAGGTTCTTAGGACTTTTCTTTTCTCCAATCTCAGCAAAATTTAGTAAAAAGATGTATTGCTAAGTCATTTCCCGGTAAGCTGACGACTTTATTAACCCGTGAAGCCCTGAGAGCGACCAGCATCTAATTTCTCGTCATCATATCACAGTCGAGTCTAACATGAAGGTCAGGGGAATAAAGGAAATGATCGTTAACTAAAGGAACTCTTGATCTTTAAATAAAAACTTCTTGTTTGCATCATGGGAAATGGAGAATATACACATTGATGTGAGCCTGTGAGGGGGTTAATAGCTTCCAGGCGATTACAGCCATGGAATGCCTAAGGTACAACGATCAAGTAATTCCCATTACTTACGGCCAAGAATTCTCTAAGCCTTTCCTCCGCACTATCTCCATTGTTGAAGCACAAGGCGCCTGCTACACGACTGATACACGCTGACAAACAGTGGGCGTTGTTTTCATGCGCTGAAAGAAGAGAAAACATTGCCCTTGAGTCACATGTTTCCTCGCTAATGCAGTAACATTTTTACTTTAAGCTCTGATGAATGATTAAGAAATTTTCATGTTAATTCATCCTGTTAATTGTTACCTTCCAGGTCAGCATTATAATCAGAGGAGTCTCTATAGGCCAGTGAGGGGAGTGCCACTGCTACGAATACCTGCAAATAACAACCAAAACAGTTCATTGGCGCTTTAAATCGAAAACCAAAGTTAAAAATTTGTCGTCAATTTCGAAGATCAGGAAATTTGACAAATATTGACAATATTACTAAAGACTAAATAGAAAAAAAAAAAAGAAACTGGACGAAATCGAGGTAAATTCTATAATTTTTTTTACCAGGTCTGCGGAGAGTGAAATGAAGTCGAAGTTTACAATGGCTCACTGAAATTTCTCGTGGCCTCCTTTCTTTCATAAGACCACAGTTGCTCATTGTGTCGGTACAAAAAACAAATGCAAAGTGGAAACCATCATACCAGACAATGGCTGTTCGTTCTATGGACGCGCCCGTCAGACTACTGGGTTCTAACTCTTCGAAAGTTTCACCGAAAAGCCACTCGCATAACAGATTTTGGAAAAAATTGACCAAAACTAAACGCTTACGTAACCGTAAAATCTGAAAAACTGCAACAAAATCTCATTCTTCTCCAAGCTTTTAGCCTTAAAGACTGGACACTTACCAAGAACAATGCCCAAACCTGGGAATCTTCATCGGACTTCTTTTCTAAAACAAAAAGAAAAAACAATGAGCAACTTACAATGAAAGGAAACTGGGTTCATAATATTTATCTCGAAAAAGGACGTGGTTAGTCTGAGAAGCCAGTGGTATTGCGGTGTTATATTATATGAACCACTGCCCTTGGGTCCCCTCACGAAACACCTCCTCAAAACTGCAAGCTTCGCAGGTAAGATATGAGTGAATGAAAACAATCTTACAGGGCTAAGTTATTCAATACCCCAGAAAAAAATATCAGTCGACAATTGTTAGGATAAAGGACATTTGAAGATAAAATCTTAACTCATGACATAACACAGCCAAAAAAAAATTCCTCACCTCCTTCTTATTTCAATTATGAAAAACATGATTGGTTTGAATTTCGCAAGATCTCAAAATCTGTTAGGGGACGGTTATAATTATCTGTGGTAATAGATAGTAACTGGGGGCTGTAAGCATTAAGCGTCATTCATGGCTGTATAGGGGTTCATACCTTACCGTAAGAGCGCGCACATACATCCAAGTACGACTTATCCATAAGTCACACACTCACAAAAACTCACCTTTGTGGACGCGAAGAGCTTCGCAAAGGACTGGGTCTAGCTCACACTGGAGGCCAGCTGATGTCGCCATTTCATCTACAAGCTTAAAGGGCAAACATTTACAAATATGGAAACGGCAATAATCAAGATGATATATGGAAAAATCTTGACAAAAATAATATCATTGATGGCTAAATAAAGCAAAATTTTCTGAGCAAAGTCAGCACTTTCTTAACGGGCTAGGTCACTACATCGAAAAGTACGTTGAAGTGTTTCAAGAAACCTTCATGTGAAAAGAAACTTTAAATTTAGTTCGGTGAGATAGAAAAACATAAAAGGGGAATAAACGAACCGAGAAGGAATTATAATAAATATATTACTAGCCTCATTTTCTCGATCCCTACTTTAAATTACGGAACCTCGTTTATTCCCCGCTTGATCCAAGCGGAAAACTCGGTCCGTAGCTTACTGTAGGGACCTCGAACTCGGAAGCAAGAAGTATTACTTACTGGGCGATCGTTGTTTCCTTGAGGATAATGTTCTTTGAAATCCACTATGGAGTTTATCAAAAATGGCACTCTCTTCTTCAAAACCTAGCCATGAATATTCGATAAATATTTATCAGGTGTATAGTATGATATATATGCATTGGTATATTTACATCCCGCCTATTGAATACATGAGATCTATGAAAGCATAATCTGAAATGGTTGTTAGAAAATTTTCGAGACCTTTGGCTAAAATATTTATTAACATAAAAAGATACAAACGTACAGTTTCCAGAGCTTCTTGTGTCAGAGAACGGAAAGTCAAAATCACTCCAACAATTATCACTCGGAGAATCAGATCTTCAATATCTGAGAAAAGATAACAATCAAATTTTATCGCAGGTGGTCTCATGATTAGTGCGCTCGACTCCGGATCGAGTGGTCCGGGTTCGAGCCCCGGCCGGGACATTGTGTTGTGTTCTTAGGCAAGACACTTTACTCTCACAGTGCCTCTCTTCACCCAAGTGTATAAATGGGTACCGGCGAATTTAATGCTGAAGGTAACCCTGCGATGGACTAGCATCCCATCCAGGGGGGAGTAGAAATACTCCTAGTCGCTTCATGCTACAGAAACCGGAGCTAAGCACCGGCCTAATGGACCACTAGGCTCGTAAGAGACTTTACTGTGCCTAAACTAACATGTCCATCACATTGCGATATGAAGAAATCCATCAGCTGGGCAGAGACGCATTACCCACTTTTTAGAGGCTTGGCAAAAACCAGGCTACGCTGAGCCAGTATAAATGTAACAGATCTATAATTTTTTATCGCTACTTCAAGTAAATGCCACGAGAACAATACGCGTTCTGCCCCAACGGTTGTTGGTCGACAGGTCCTGTATATCACTCGTATTAAGACAGATGACAAGGGATTCGTTGGTTGTTTCTTGTGTGATGGTGGGTTAAGTTTCATGACTGATCGCAAGACTTACTTTTCAGCCTTCTTACGAGCTCCATACACTGGTCGGGTTTATCAAAACTTGTCCGCAGACTCGTCAACACATCTTTGTTTAGAACGACCAATTTCTGTTTTCAGAAAGCAATAAGAAGGATATTAAAAACAATTGTAAAGAAGATTTGTTTTTTTTGGAGAAAAACTGAAATTGTTGTGAAGGTTTACAACGGGTCTATATCAACAGAAATGTTAAAATGAGACGAACATACTGCAAAAGACCCATATCATATTTTAAACTAATACATGGTCAGCCTGTGGTCTGTTAACGAGTTCTACATAACTCATTTGGTAAAGCATCCCATTGTGAAATCAGATATGGCTACAATGTCCCGTACTTCTCAAGTGTAGTATGCCATCATTGGCCAAGTATGGTCAGCCATTACTGGTCCAGTATAGCGAACCGTTGTTGGCCAAGTATAGGAGGCCACTGTTGGCCAAGCATAGGGTGCCATCATTGGCCCAGTATAGTGAACCATGATTGGCAAGTGTGCCATCATAAGCCAAATATTGTGTGCCGTTATTGGCCAAGTATAGTAGTCCATTATTGGCCAAGTGTAGTTTGCGATCATTGATCAAGTATAGTCAGCCATAATGGCCAAGTATGGCGAACCATTATTGGTCAAGTACAGTACGCCATCATTGGCCAAGTATAGTATGCCATCATTGGCCAACTATAGTTAGCCATTATTGGCCCAGTCTAGTGAACCATTATTGGCCAAGTGTAGTTTCCCATCATTGGCCAAATATAGTGTTCCATTAACGAGAAATGCATGACAAAAACCAGCTGCGAAGGAGACATTGCTTTGCTGTATATCATCAATATACCAGCCACTCTCTAATATGGACTCTTAATGGACAATGATGACTCTCCCTCACTCAGGTGGTGGGAAATTCAGTCGAAATCACCGACAGTAGTCTTTTCAGGACTAACCTAACCAAAAGACCACACTTTACGACGGAGTGTTTCCCCTTATTTGTAACATTTCGTGTAAAACGTTTATAACTGCTTGCGAACCTTTATCTCTCCAACTTGACTCGCTACTTGCTGCATCATTTTCTGTCCCAGATATTTCATGCCATACGCCCCAAGCAGTTCGGCGAGAGCTTGTAATTCTGCAAGTAAAAATATTACTTCCAATTCCACTGCGTCAAGTGGCTGTCACGTTTTGCAAAGTAATAATATAAAACAGTAAAAATGGTTCTACCATCGGAACATTGCAGTAATTACTCCGAACAAGGCACGATTTGGGCCGGCAGCATTTTCAAATCCTTGAACTCGCGGAAGTGATCATGATTAGATATCACTTCGCTCTACACTTTTAATACATTATCTGGCTAAACAAGTCAGGTAAGAAAAGCACTTGACAGCTAGAAAATGTTATTTTGATAGAGCACCAAATTCTTCATTCAAAGTGATGAGAAAATGAATCAAGGATATAAAGGAGAATTTCATTACGGATCTCGCGAATTAGATGGTTAACCGACTCGGATGACACAAATACACAAACAAGTCGGGCATGTAACGTATACTGTATATTGTTGATGGTGAAATAATCAAATCATGCAGTCTTAAACAGTATGGTCTTGAAAACAATAAAACTCGTTCACTCACCATTCACGTCCGTGTATTCCTCTGCTCTGAAAGACTGACCAGGTTTGTTGACAAAGGCTCGACGGCGAGGAGAGAACACCATGTTTTCAATCATCACACGACGCAAGAAAATATCAAGGTACCTGACGACGGATAATGTTCGCAACAAAATTCAGTTCTTTTTTTAATTTCTAACTTTTTTTTCCATCACTCAGGTGCTCCGTACTGAAAAGGATCGATGTTAAAATTCCAGGTTGTTCATGTTCAGTCACAGATCGTGTGGCGATATAAAAACGGCGTGACTATCAAGCGTGACATAGATAATGTTGTTTTAGTGTGAAAAATAACAAAACAACAGTTATTTACCATGTAGCATACATGTTGGTGATGGTTATAGCTCCTTGGCTGTCTTCAGGCTGTGTTTGCTGCAACAGAACATGATTGAACAACCGAGCCATGTCTACACCAGCTAAAGGAAACGAAAATAGCAATAGTTATCTCTCAGCAATCACTGACTAGAGCTGAAAGGTTATATGGATCCGGTGATAAACACCACGGCACAGTGCGACATCTATTAGGTGGAAATCCCCGGGGATTTAAAGAAGGTTCTCTGAGAAAACGTTTTTTCTTGACGTCAGGAATAGGAGCCGGATAAACAGCGGTCTACGCCCTGAACTGCAGGTCGTGAAGTCTGGCAGGTTTGAAACCTCGCTGGGGTTATTGTAAAGTGTTCTTCATTACGCCTCTCTCCGTACAGAGGTTTGAACTGATACTGGCGAACGACTACGAAAACCAGACAGAATCCTGT